ACCAAGACCCCGGGTTCGGATCCCATATAGGGATGGCTGGTTAGCTCACTGAGTGAGCATGGTGCTGACAACACCAAGTCAAGGGTTAAGATCCCCTTACTGGTCATCTTTATTTAAAAAAAAAAAAGAAAGAAAAAGAAAAAACTATTGTTTTGGTTTCATTGTAAAAAGATAGAATTTTGTTTTAATGACTGTAATATAATCTGTTTTAAATAAGAGAAGCTATTTTTATATCCTGGATGAAAATTGTGCTAGTGCAATTTCACCTATAAAACTGAACAAATCTTTTGAATGAGAAATTTAAAAACTAGATTTATTTGCAAGGTCCTTCCCTAACCATTTAGTAGCAAGGCATTTTAATAAAGGCTTCTTTCTGCTAATATACAAATATTTGGAGCTGTATTTTAATACTCACTTGGCTGTGGTGGTGTGGAAAGGTCATTGATTTGGTTCTGTCATTTGTCGTGGGAAGGATGCCAGGGAGCTAACATCTGAAAGGCATGAAGCAGGGTGTGTCCGCGTGTATATTTGGTGTATGTAACTAGACTTTTAGGTAGGTGTTTAGATAAGGACAAAGCAATATCAGTTTCCTTAATAAAACCAAAAGTTTCTGGGATTTCTTTTTATGCTCAGGATCTCTTAATTGGGTAGGGACAGCTGAGCCATAGGGTCCTAACTGTCCCTGGGATTCATTTCCCCTTGGGGGTTTATTGGTAATAGGGCACATCTCCCTCATTTTTGCAGCTCAAGTATTGATTGGCCACCCTTCCTTTTCCTACCTTAGCACAGCTATGCTTCACAAATGATGTGCTGATAAGATACAAGTTACTCCTTATCAGCATAGGTTAATAGACCTGTATTTTTGCTTTTGTTTGTTTGTTTGTTTGTTTGTTTTGCTTTTTTTTTGTCTTTCTCCGTGTCCGGCAACGGATCGCAACCCTCAGTGTCGCCCCCGCACCGGACCGGGACCGGCAACGGGACCGCAACCCTCGGTGCTGTTCCTGCGCCTCGCCCAGCCAGCGAACGGGAACCAGTCTGTATGTGGGATCCGAACCCTCGGCGGGAGCACCGCCGCACTTCCCAAGCGGCGCACCATAGCAGTGCGCCACTGGGCCGGCCCATGCTTTTGTTTGTTTTTAAGTCTGCTACTTACTAGGCACACACATCCAGGCTCAGGGATTTTACAAATGAATAAAAATGGTTTTTGCATTGAAGAACTTACAGTGTGGGTGGAATGGAGTCAAAAACATGGAAATGTGATTTTAATATGTTGTAAATTCTACGGTAGTAGGTGGGAGTTTGTTTTATGGTAAAACATCCTTCTAATTGGTGCCTTAAACTTTACTATTTTTTTTCATGGATCTGCCTATTTATCCCTATACTTTCAAAGAACAATCTTAACAGTAGTTGTTTTTTGTCGTGATATTTTATTAGCAATGTTTCTAATGGTAGAAATATCATGGAAGGTATTCCAGGATATAAGACAAGGAGGTTCTAGTACTAAAACATGAAATGCTAACTAGTATAATATCACTTCATCAAGATGTAAAATGTGCATCTTGAAAATGGATTTTAATAATACCCACATTGCACAGCAATGAAAACTAAACACATGTTCCTACCACAGGCTTCATTGCACAGGGGTGCTGCCTCCAAGGACCAAGAATTTGTCAAGGCGGCAGATGGACTAGTTGTGATTAGCCCATGAGTTAATGAGGCTACAGATAATCCCTTTTTATCTGATTCCTTTTCTTTTTAGTTCTTAGGCCTTTGAAATGCTAAGTCATCTTAAAATAATTTGCATAGAATTACTTAAGCTCATCTATTAACTTACTAACAGATAGGAAAGCAAACAGTTCCCACAAAGTTATTTTTTAAAAATAAAACCATAATTTTTATTTTTGTGCGACCGGAAGGCATGGTAGGTCACGCCATGAACCTTTTCACCTGTTTTTTGGGGTTGGCCAGTAAGGGGAATCCGAACCTGTGACCTTGGTGTTATAAGGCTGCACTCTAACCAAGCTAACTGGCTGGCCATGGAATAGTTCTATCTTAGAGATTTCATTCAACCTTCTTTATCTCAAGTTCTGAAAGTCTTGCCCATTCTTATCTCATCTTTCTTCTCTTGTCCTCAGTCCTTTTAGTTTATGACTTTCACACTGTGAACAAGATTCATCCTTGTTAATAGTGTCTACCAGCCAGATCCTTCTGCCTATAGTTGCCTCCATCCAGCTTTCTCTTGCTCAGATCTTAGATTTCCTTCCATTTTTTCTTTGCCTTTTGAAATCCAACTCAACTTTTTTTTTTTAAAGATGACTGGTAAGAGGATCTTAACCCTTGGTGTTGTCAGCACCACACTCTCCCATGAGAGCTAACCAGCCATCCCTATATAGTGATCCAAACCCATGTCCTTGGTGTTATTAGCACTGCACTCTCCCAAGTGAATCACAGGCTGGCCCTCCAACTCAACTTTTAAGGTTGAGTTTAGTTGTCACCTTTCCTGCCATCCTTCTGCAGTTCCTAGTGTCCTTTTCTCCCCGCCCCCCAAAGTACTTTTGCATATATATCTCATAATGTATTTTTTTCTACTCTTTCTTCTTAGGTAGAACATAAGCTCCATAAGTACAAAGCTTTACTCATCTTTGTATATTCATTTTATTCAACTTTGTATACTCACCGCCTAGTGCATAATATGTATTACATGCTTGAGAAAGTGAATTTGTTTGCCTCTTTTTTCAGCTTTGAATAAACCACCATCTGCTCCTCAGTTACCAGTTGGTTGTTGAGTATTCCTGTAGAAAGTTACTGACCTCAGGGCTCTTATTTTCCTCTAAGTTTTCTCCTTAGGCAGTTTTCTCCATGCCTGAGGGTTTTACACAGGTAAATGAAGCCTTATTCAGATATTCCAGCTAGAAAGTCACTGTCTCCATCACTTTCCATATTTAAGTCATCATTTGGCAGAAGTTATCTCCTGAGTAACTCTTGAATCCACTTACTTTTCTTTCTCATCACTTGTATGGTCTAAGAAGCTGCTATCATTTCTTGTCTAGAGACTGTACTGCAGCGCATTTGTCCTGGCTGCACAATTATTTTACTCTGTTCCACTCTGTGCCTCCCCACCACCACCCCCATTCCTGTACTGCTGTCAGCTTGGTCTTTTCAAAGTGTAAAAGAACCCCCTCCCCTTTTACTTAAAACACTCAGTGGCTTCCTATGGCTCTTAAGATAAAGTAAAAATTCTCAGCATGACCTACAAAGCTTTGTGTGGCCTGACAGAGAAATGTCCTTCTAATCTTTTTGAAGATATAGTATAATTTTAATACTGTACTTTGAGAAGAAAATGTTCTAGAAAAGGACACTCATTTAGACTTAGGTTTGGGGATTCTATAGTATGAATTAGACATCTGTCCCCACATTTAAGCATAATTGGTTCTTAGAGCCTGCACCTAAAGATAAGGCAGAGGAATTTACTTTGCATTTGCTGCCATTTCTTTTTTCTTTTGCTAGCAGAAAGCCCTCATGTGAATAAAGGTGGCACAAGAGGCAAAAATACAAACTTTAGCACAGTGTTTAAGGTGAAAAGCATAGTTAAAAGTATGTGGGGAGAGAGTACTTTACTTTTTATTTTATTTATTTATTTTTTTGGCATTTGGCTGGTATGGGGATCCAAACCTGTGACCTTGGTGTTACCAGTACCACACTGTCCCAAGTGAGCCGACTGGTCAGCCCAAGAGAGCACTTTAATTTGTACATTTATTATATATCATACTATATGTTTTCTACTTTTAGTACTGTACATAAATTTTACTTTTTCAGATTTACCTTTTTCAATTATATTATGCAGTTATGCCTTCTGCAAAAGCTAATTTAATGATAAAAAACTTAGAGTATGTTTCTACATTTTTATCCCTCCACAAATGTGGATCTCATAGAGTAAAAACTAGCTTGTGGTATAGTATACTTAATTCCTGAAATGGGATAATATTTCTGTAAGATGACTGCTATTTGTAAGTGTAGAAGTTTTTGTAAAGAAAAATATCTTTTAAAAGTTGTAAATAAAAACATATACATTTCAATGAAATGTTTCAAGGATTTTTAACCATACAGATGAGCTCCCTTCTGCAAATAACAACAGTGTGATGTGTTTTGTTGTTGTTGATTGTTTGCTGGGGATTAAAACACAGGTGATTATATTCAGGCTGGTTAGATTAGTGATTTTAATATGAAACCATTGCTTTTAGAATAATCATGGGCCAGACTGGGAAGAAATCTGAGAAGGGACCAGTTTGTTGGCGGAAGCGTGTAAAATCAGAGTACATGCGACTGAGACAGCTCAAGAGGTTCAGACGAGCTGATGAAGTAAAGGTATAATTTTATCTTTCGTGAAAATGCATATACAATTAAGCATAGTAGTTTTTCCCCCCTAAAGTTAAATAACTTTTAATTTGAAATACTATATTTTCAGTCAAGGTCATATTTACGGCAAGATAAATGAAGACTTGGAAGCTAAGGTCCTTGATCTGTCTTAATTAACATTGTAACATGCACATTAATGATAATGAAAAGATTTTAATCTATTTGTTACTCACCCTATTTGGTAATCAGTCTCTTTTTAGTATAACTTTTTTATTGCATGTGTAGATTCAGAACCCAAAATAAAGGAATGCATTTCATGATTTCATGTTTCTAAAGTCATTGTGATTTTTTTTAAAAACAAAATTAAGAAAGAATGGAAATGATTTCCTCTTCCCCTCCAACTTGCAATAAAATAATAGATGTGGTGTTTTTGTATTATTTGAATGTGAGAAACTACAGTCTAGTGTAAAATCTATATGCATTTGAGGAAATGTTCTTGATATTTTTGAGAAACCTCCTGCTTTAAAGATGTTACACATTTTCTAACAATGAACAATTTCTCTTCTCCTCTCCTTCATTTTTTTAAAGAGTATGTTTAGTTCCAATCGTCAGAAAATTTTGGAAAGAACGGAAATCTTAAACCAAGAATGGAAACAGCGAAGGATACAGCCTGTGCACATCATGACTTCTGTGAGCTCATTGCGCGGGACTAGGGAGGTTGGTTAACATAACGTGTTGTAGTAATTATCAGCACATTTTGGTTTTTGCTATTGGAATGTTGGTTGGTTATTGGGAGGAAGGAGGTCATTGACCTCTTGATGTCCATCTTTTTGTTGTTATTTCTTTTTAATGTGCCATGGTTAATGGTTGCCGTAGATCACACTACTAGCTATTCCTGTAACAGAGTTCTAAATGTTTAGAATATACTTTGACTGTTACTAGGTAGATTCCTAGATTTCATAAGACTGTTGATTAAAAAACAACTTTTAGGGCCGGCTCCGTGGCTCACTCAGGAGAGTGTGGCGCTGCGCCGAGGCCGTGGGTTCGGATCCTATATAAGGATGGCCGGTGCGCTCACCGGCTGAGCGTAGTGCAGACAATGCCGTGCCGAGGGATGCGATCCCCTTACTGGTCAGGAAAAAAACAAAAACAAAACAACTTTTAGATCAAATACTCTTTAATGTCCTCATCAGATCACTATTTAGAGCAAAGGCTTTCTGACTCACAGTGTCTTTCCCCAGCCTTTCTCTAATATGAATTAGCCATGTGGTAAGAAATGTTTCCTTTTCATATTCATGGACTAAGAAAGCTTTTTATTATATATTTTGTTCAAAGGCTAAAGTCTTTTTATGTAAGAATTTTTAAATTCAGTAGTGAGAGATTGGAATTTCCTGTTCTATAGCATTTTCTGAACGAGGTAGATCTTAATCACTCTGAGTTTCCTATTTTCAAAGAAAGGCAATTAATCTATGGTAGAATCTATAATTAAATATCCCACTAAAACACACTTGGAGCAAGATGAGAAGAAAATCGCAGAAGCCTAAACAGTATAGTACCAGTCAGTAGGGTTCTGGTTTAGGCATTTCTCTTTTAAATGCCTGCATTATATAGAAAACATGGCATAGGATATTTAAATAAGAGTTGAAGCAAACTGGGGAGAAGGTGATTTGGAATTTAGATCACACTATGTAGTAGATAGTTTATCTGAGTGTCTAAACATGGCAAGCATCTAAACAATGGAATTTGTTCTAAAATAGTTTTCTCAATGAGTTGCCATTTTTTTATATAACATTATTGTAATAAGCAATAATTTGCCATAGTATGATTCCTGTCAAGATTGTGTGACACATGGTTTTCAAAGACTTGTCAGCTATATGCACTCTCCTAGTGATTATGTCAGTGATGTTTTGGTGGTCTTGATGGTGACACATGACTTGGAATGACTCTTAGTCATTTATGTATTTTGTCAAGTGTCAACTCTTTAAAGCTCTGACTTACAATTGTATGAATATGTATTAATATGCTGACACCTTCCCCATCATCTGATACAGGTCAGAGCCTAGATACTAGAGGTAATGGCTTTTTGTTAATATACTAAGGGTGAAAGGGATTCTTTTCTATGCTCGTCAATATTCTCAAAAGGGACAAAGATGGGACTTTTATGTAATTCTTTTGAAAATTTTGTCAGATGACCTCATGTTTTACTCCCTGGAGGAATAAATCTTAGAAATTTGGAGAAGATAAAAACGCATGGAGTACTGTACTTATTTTTGCCACCCATTACAAATCTCAAAATGCTACTGAAAGGGCCGGCCCCATGGCTCACTTGGGAGAGTGCGGCACTGGTAGCACTGAGGCCACGGGTTCAGATCCTATATAGGGATGGCCAGTGCGCTCACCGGCTGAGCGTGGTGCAGACCACACCGTGCTGAGGGTTGCGATCCCCTTACCAGTCAAAAAAAAAAAAACTACTGAAAGCCCAACTTGATTTGTAACAAAAGTTAATACCAATAATGATTTCTGGCACTGCACTAGGTACTTTGTACATGTTACTTATTTAATCTTCAGGATGACTGTATTATGCCTTTTTCCCCCAGGTGAGGAAACTGTGCCTCAGAATAGTTGTCAGTTTGCTTGCTCTATAGTGATCTGATGTGGGCCCAGAAGGGTAAAAACGTATTCCTCAGTGTGCTCAGACACACTGAGGAATAGTGAAGTACCTTATTTATGTGCAACTTGAATGGCTCATAATATAATTTTTGGCATTAAATTTAAAAGTTTAGCTACTTCAGTTGGATACTTACTCATTTAATTTTACTTTTAATTTTGTTGAGATGTCATTGAACATAAAGATACCTAACTTTTTTGTGAATTTATGTGAGAAATTGAGAAGAAATCAGCGTTTTAATGAAACAAAATTGTTTTCTAAACTTAGTACTTCTACAGTACCCCACACAGGTTGAGAAAAAACATTTTCACAAAATATTGGTGGAAAAGGAGGGAAATAAATCCCCAGCCTTAGGAATGTGTTTTTTGTTGTGTAGAACTCTGACTGATCAAGGTCATTAGTTTTTTGAGCCACTGTTGATAGCAGATTCTGCTTCAAATGATTCATCCCTTAATCCCTCCTCCTTCTTTTAAAACCATCATCGTTGACTTTTGGAAGTTGAAGGTTTATACAGTTTGTGATAAGCTTCTTGGTGTTACCACAAGAAACCATAAAGTTTTAGAGCTGAAAAGGACTTTAGTTGATTTCATAGCCTAACGTCCTGACTTTCCAGATGAGAATACATTGTTTATTTTTCTGTTGGTTTGAGCATTTTTATATATATGTTAATTTGTTAATTTCTTTTATATGCTTTAAAAGTTGGAGTCTGAAGTACATCAGGCAAGAGAAGAAATAAGTGAGCTTGTTTTGCAGAGACTTTCCTAGTAGTAAGCTTGGCGGAATTTCAGACTGCAGCGTTGATCTAAACATGTAAAGTCTATAGAATTCAAGATTTGAAGTGCCATTGTAGCATTGTTTTAATTAACTGTTTATTTTTGTGATCCAATCATATATAAGTGCAGATGTCTTCAGTTGAAATTTTCTTAATGTGTTTTTAAGATACTTTTGGGTACCTATTTTTTGTTTTTGAGATTATGAATCTAAGCAGTGTTGTCCATAGGATTTTAATACAGAATATGTTTCTATTTTTTGTTTTTAAAAATACTTCTGACTTCTTGAAGACAATTTATTTCCTTTGCTCTTCAGTTAATCTTTTTAAGGAGCATCCAGCTTCAGAATGTCATTGAGCAGTTCATATAGGCCAAGAATGAACACCTTATTGCCATAATATGAGGCTGTTTATCAAAAAATTGTTTCCAGGTGACTTTCATTACTTTGTCTTATCAACTAATGAAAACTGTCTTCTGTGAGTCTTCATGTTGGTAGTCATATTCTTTAATCTGTCTGTTTTTCCAGTTTTAGTGAAGAAACTGGTTTAGGAGTTACTCTTGAAGCTCTTATTTAATGCAGTTCCTTTTGTGCATTTGTCCATTTCTTGCTGAAAACCACAAGACAGTTTCCCCTTGTCGATTCTTTATATCAGAATTTTTGCTACTTGTATGTATTATGACTGTGATAGAGAGGCTTGCTCAGTTAATGCCTGTCTTCTAGGCAAATGATATGATTAGTTTAGTAATTTAATAGAAATATCCTGCAAATATGTATTTCTGGATTCCCAGGAGAATATATGTAATGTTCTCCTTTGTCTTGAGTTCTGTGTCTTGTTTATTAATGGTTACAGTGAGAATTTTTTGTGTATATTTAAATGTGGGGCTTCTTCAGAATGTCTAACATAGAAGAAAGAAACATCAGAAGGACATCATAGTCCTCATATTCATGAAGAATCATGAAACTTTCAGACTTTTTAATATGTTGTAGGTTTGCTCTTCCTAGTGATATTTGAAATGATTGTAAGTTCATCATTTATCATTTGACATTTGCAAATGATGTGTTTTTTTTGGAGGAGGTTCTACGAAAATGATAGAGTTTATAAGATCTGTCATATGTTGGCAATTTGGACTTACTATTTTTGTTGGAGGAGAAGAAAAACATTTTGTCTAGTTTACATGTAAATTCTTGATTATGTTATTTATCGACTTGGTAATGCAATTTCCTCAGTTAATTGGAAATAGAAATTTAGTTACTGTTTACAAAGAAAGAATAATATATTAGTTTATCCAATGTACAATTCAGAACCCTTTACTCAAGTACATTCTTAACTTTCAATACAGTAACATACTTTCTTCACTTTGTAAACTTCAGGAATATAGGACCTGCAGATTTAGATTCTCATGAGCCATTTGAGCAAATTTGTAAGGAAGCTAGGTCATTTTCTCATGTCTTGAAATAAATGGATGGATCTCCTAAGTGTTTCACTCAGTCTGGATATATCCATCCATGCTTTAGTGCCTCAAGGAACTGGTGTCTCAGTTGCTCTTTGTGGCTCCTTGCCTCTCTTAACCATTTCTTTTATTTTGCTGGAGAGTTGAGTGTTATGTTAACTCTCAGTCCTTCCCACGTGTATAACTTTTAAATTGCTGCAGCCTTTGCTTTCTTTCTGGTTTTCTTAAGGCTGAAATAGATGTAACATTTCTTAAATGACCATAAAGGGAGGTTTTCTTTACCTTTGAAAGGAAACTAATATAAGCATTTTATGTTTTTCCAAAAGGTCAGATTTAAAAAAGAGAGGTCATTTGGGATGTTTGACTTTATATTATCATTATCATATATTAAATGTATATATTTATGATTTTATGAGTTTATGTTTTAAATTTAAGATTGTATATTTTAAGTTTAAAAAGTGAATTTTTAAAAAGTCTTGTTTATATTTTGTGCAACTAATAAACCAGCAGAAGTTGCTTTTAATTTGCTGTTTTTCTCCTAGAATAGTGTATACGTAGTTTGTTTTTAAAATTATTGTTAAATTGGGGCCGGCCCATGGCTCACTTGGTAGAGTGCGGTGCTGATAACACCAAGGCCGCGGGTTCGGATCCCATATAGGGATGGCCGGTTAGCTCACTGGTTGAGCGTGGTGCTGACAACACCAAGTCAAGGGTTAAGATCCCCTTACCGGTCATCTTTAAAAAAAAAAAAAAAAAAAAAATTATTGTTAAATTGACTATTATAAAGATCATGTCTCTTCCCCAAATGCAAAACCAAAATTTGACAACTATTTAGAAAACAAAATGAACCCAGACCAAAAGAAACTCTTGCCTAGTTAAAAATTCTTTTTTTTTTCGTTAATAATTTTTATTTTGTCAATATACAATGTATATGATTGCCTAGTTAAAAATTCTTAAATGTTAAAAATGTTTTATTCTGTGAAGAAATAAGGCAATTATATTAGACCTAGAACTTTTGTCATTACTTAGCTTGGTAGTGTGGATTAACTTAAATTCATGCTTAGAATTCTGTTTTATTGTCTCATAATAGTTTTCTAAAAGAATATACTTGATTGTTACACCAAGGTCAAGGGTTCGGATCCCCGTACTGGCAAGTTGTTCCCCCCCGCCCGCCCCCCTCCCC